TTGGCAACAATAAAAAATGCAGAAATCACGTCTCTTACAGCTCGAGTATTTGGCATGATACTTGCAACTTTTGCACAAAGCAGATTCCCTTACTCTTTTCTTCTGTGTGCCTAAGTGTATGCAATCTTGGACTTTAATATACGCTTAACGGTTGTTAAGGTGCTTTTGATCTTTAGTGGATAGAACTACGTGTTGGGAATCAGGGAGGATTTTTGCGAGTGCCTAATGCACCTTCAGCAGTTGACCATGACTACCATCCCTTTTTACCTTTGCAACAGCTATGAGCCACAAATTAGCAAGACGATTCCTTTGTGCAGCTTTTCTTTGTGGGCAGCGATAACATAAGATACTAGAGACATATCAACACCATCTAACTGACTTTTCAACGTACCTTCTATATATATAGTCACTTACCCATGTAAATGAGAGAATCAGTGTAGACGTATTTTTACCTAAGGTTGTATCAACTTTGAAAATGGTGCATTTATTTATTTTGCCTTTTATCGAGCAAAGCAATCGTCTCCTTTTAGCCATTTACGGGAGAAAAATCCAAGTGTTTGCAAGATCAAGGAAGAATTAGAAGATTCACCTAGGCGTAGCAGTCATATGTCAACTTTCGCAGCACTTGGGCCGATTTTCGGTGTCCAAGTGGCCTAAACATTTTAGGCAGTCTCAAACCTGCTGTCAAGAGCAATAATTTTCGTCAAATAAGTTCCATTGCATTTAGTTCTCTGGAATATGTTAATGCATTTGGAAATGCAATTTGCTTATTTGTCCCCAACTGTGGTTAGTTTGACTGTCCCTCAATTTGGCGAACTGTCAGATGTTTTGTTGCATTTCTATGGCAAATTTACTCATAATCCATCTCCTTATCCACTTGACGACCTGATTGATAAATTACACCCAAAATGTTAGTTGTTTTTAAGAATCTAAACAAATTCCTATGCTTGCAAATTAATTAGCCTAACATATGGAATGTCAAGTGACCATTTTTTTGCATAA